ATGTTTTCATACTGTATTCACAAACACTTTATCTTTATTACAGAATGAATTATTAATTAAACTTGATTTTGAAGTTGAGTACCCTTATTACAATGAAGGAATCATCAACAAGTGGTGCTGTCATTGTTTTCAGTGGCACATTGTTGTGATGCAGCTTACCATCCAGGCTAATCTCTGCTCAGCCACTGTGTCATGGAGCCTCGGTTCTGTCTATCTCCCACTCCAGTAAGAGGAAAGGAATGCCTGTGAGTCCCAGCATCTAACTGAGGGGCGCCTGTTGACCTATTTCATGCCCTGTCACTTGGACAACAGGAAGGCCAGAAACACAGACGGCATGTTCTGTCTCTCCTCTCCACTTCCCCTTGACTGAAAAAAAACACACGCCACATTTCCTGGAACACAGAAGGGAAGACAGAGGAGAGGCAGCGAGAGATTCCCATCCGAAGTTTATTTGTGATGGTGACGAGGCCAGTGTGTCATTTCAGGTGCCAGTTCTCTGACACTTGACCACCTGCAGTCATTAATTCATTATGACTCCTCACCCGTGACCATCCTGTTCTGTAAATTGAAGACTCTGTGCACTTTGCCCACAATGCACTCTGTCACCTCTTGGCTGGCACGCAGACTGGCTGCAGTTAACTGGCTGGTGCTGGACCATGTCCAGCCACACTGCTCCTGCTGTGATTTGAAAGCTTATCTTCATTAGAGAGAAAGAAGCCAGCACAGTGCATTACTGTGATCAGGGAGCTGACTTCCCATGGAATAACTGAATGCCTTTGGATTACTGGAAGTCAGTCTGTGTAATTCATTTAGATAATTAGTTAATGTAAGCAACACAATGATTTCACATGCTCAGACTCCTCAGTCAGGTTTATTGAAGTTGGCAGCAACTCTGTTTTTGTAGCTACTGTCTAAACACTGTCGTGGTACATAAAAAATCATTAATGAGGAAAAATTGGCAAAGAGTCTTCTTCAATTCATAGTGTATGGTGTGACAGTTCCTGAGACACTAAATATAAAAATACTAATGACAATGTTCTTTGTCATTGGGTTTCTTCTCTTTCCCAAAACTGTTGTTTTGGGGTATTTGCACTTTGCTATGAATAAGAAGCTAGTCTCCTCAGACTGCGTGAGGATTTATTCGTTGCTAGAGGAGGAAAGCTCCTCAGTGAGCCTTTTAACTGCCCATTCCACTCCTTTTCACAGATTTAGTGCTTCTCAGAGGCAGCTATAAATGGTCCTGGACCTCAGCCGGCCTACATCGAAGACGGTACTAAATTAAGACTAAGCTAACTCATAACCACCATGGTCTTATATTTCAATTTCAATTTTTGAAAGATAAATTTCACTTGTACACCTGCAGTAGAAAGAATATTCAGTCATAAAGCAATGTAGTTCTTGTGCCCTCTTGGAGAAGGTGCACAAATTTCTCTTCATTATAACGAAGTTCTAACATTATGGCTTTTTCTGGCTTTATAAGACTTCCTCACGCACGTATATTGTTTCGATTGATTGTCAGACGTTGGTAATGTGGTGTGCGAGCTTTGTGAGGGGTGGACATTTCATTAGTAGTTTTATCCTTCTTTCCTTTTCAGCAGCCATTAAGTAAGAGGGTGATGTCAGTGTCACTCAAAAGGCTTCGCAACTTGGGTCCCAAAAAACTTGATGGTGCTATGTTATTAGCTGGTTTTCAGATTTACTTTCTTTGTTCTTCTTTCTTTAGTGTATTTGGCTTGGTTGTACATTGTACAAATTGACAAACCAACCACATATGTGAATTTGTGTGTCTTTTATTCATCAAGGAAAAAATGAAGTGGGCAGTGTTATTTACAGCAGTGCGCTGCTACACATTAATGCCCACATCCTCTCCTGGGAGTCTTTTACAGGTGGCCAGTGAGCAGCTCTTCTAGAGCAAATGAAGGTTAAGTGTCTCTTTCAGGGGAATCTCAATTATCATGTTTGTAAGGGAAAAGCCTCTTTCTCCACTTTTCAGTGCAACATGGTAATTAATTTTAGATGGTTCAGTTTGTCAGACACATTAAAGAGACGGTTTCTGGCATCTGATCCAGCACCACGTTCAGCCACAAGTTAGGAACTTAAGGTGTCAGTGGTCTATTTGTTGTCTCCTCTTACCCTCTCAGTGTCAGTTTAAGTAGAATCTAATCTCAACTCATTGACTCCTGGCAGAGCCATGCTTTTCATTGGCCTCACAACCTCCTTGCCTCACTCTCCTGTTCCAAGCGCGTAGAAGACCCTAAAATGGAAAGCCCCTATATAGATTCTGTTTGGTTTATCCATTCTTTGCTACTGTAGAAACATGACAGTTCAACATGGCAGCCTCTTTAAATAGAAACAGCTCATTCTAAGCTAACAAAAACACAACAGTTCTTATTTTCAGGAGATTATACACCAATGAAAACATACCAATGAATATTGTATTCCATTTCTGCCAATAGATCATCCTAAATGTTACACACTGACACACTGCAGCTACTGTGTTGGTCTTGGATACAGGTTGTCTAACTCAGGTGGGTTTTTTTCTCCTAGAGACACAGCATTGGCCAGTGTCAGCTTTATAAAACAATATTGTTTTTTGTCCAATGTTGTTTTTATAGCCAACATTTGGCCAAATTTGTTACTGATATTTTTATAATCTTTCTCTCTGGGAGTGTCACTTAATACATCTGTCAATAGAATATATAATCATAGTGTTTAAAAACACTGTTACTTATATAAAAGCACGTTCTGCAGAAGTTCAACCTTTTCTGTACCTGCATTTGTACTACAAAAAATGCATAGTGGTATTTGTACAGGCACAGACCTGACGCTGTATTCTAGTGGCTCTTTCAGCCTCTTTAGGATCCTGCCATCTAGACTGGTGTCATTTCTCTGCACATTAAGCAGCTGTGGTGATGTCATGGTGAAAGAGGTGGGAGATCTAAAGATGAGTGAGTTCATGTGCTCCATCTGGGTTTTATTCACTAAGAGCAAGAGGAAAACAGAATATGAAGGAACAGCAAAGGAAAGGCTGTCCCACAGTCCCACTCCTGGCACCAGTCATTCTCATGGGAATGGACTGATCTTAGTCACATTGGACTACTCTCTCTCTCCCTAACAAGGACCTATTGTCCCTCTCTTTATTGCCACCTATAATGAGAATATGACAAGTGGCCATAAACTATGTGTGAGCTGTTAGGTGTTTCTGTCTTTTTCTGCCCTGTCTGGATGATGCTTCCTGTAGTGCATAGTAAATAGTCATTTATAACACACAGTGCTGATTTAGTGTTAACATCTTCCATGTGACAGTACATAATTTAGGAGTGCATGCTGTCCTCATTCTGTCAGTCATGGATTCATCCTCTGTGAAGTGCAGAGAAAAGTGACTGTGGATTTTTAATGGTACCCTGTATTTTTTTCAAGCGCAGGTCTGTCCAGTGGCAAATTCATTCAACTGATTAGGATGAAGTGCTGCATTTGTTCATGTGAATTTAAATGGCGGCCTCCCCTCAGTCCAAAGAGGCTGGAGTTCTTTTTAAAGAGTGGCTTTTAACTGAGAGCCTAATCTCACTGACATTCAGAACTGACAGAACTGAGTATCGTTCTGCCATTCTTCAGTTTTATCGGCCATTATTTTTCTTCAAAACCTGAACCTTGGTTGGTTACTTATTTTATACTTACAATTTTAGGCTCTCATTGAAGTTGGATTTTGTTTTAAATTGTTATATTCATGATTTTCCATTTACACTGTTAACATGTCTTTACCTCTCTACGTAAAGCACCTCACTTTTTCAACCACAGCTGCACACTCTGGGAATGTTAAATGGCTTTGTACCCCAGAAATTGTGCCAGTGTTGGCAGCTCCTGCCACAGTTGCTAGTTTATTCAATAAGGGGATAGTCTGTGTAAAGTGCCTATCAATGGCAGAGTACTTAAAGAACCCACAGGGGTATAGGATTTCCATTCCAAACTCGGCCATTTGTTTGTAGATTTTCTGTGTGTGTGTTATAAGTGTGTGCACGTGTTGCTCAGGGTAATGCGCTGTCTATCTCAGCACACAGACTGTCTAGTCTCTGCTCAGTGGGTTTGATGATGGTGCATGCATGTGAGAGACACAGGGCTGTCATTGTCTGTGCACTGCTTAAGCTGCTTTGTGCCTGAATGGTCCACGTGCACAGGGACCTTTGTCATCCTTTGAAACAAGCAAGCCCCTTGTGTCTGCATCGCTGTTTGCTGATGATCTGAAAATAAACAATAAAACGTTTTCAGGCGGCACCCTGCTCACGCTGGGCATCTGTAAATACTCTTCATATTTGACAGAGGGTAGGAAAAGGCTCACGCCAGCGACCCACGCTGATGCCTTTTGAAATGCCACTGTTAAGCTCTGCTGCAGCGATGAATGACCACAGAGAGCAACAGACAGACAGTGCCAGGCAGATGCTCTGTTGTCCAAACAGAGAACAATAAGTGAATAGGGTACAGTGACCAGCATCATGAATTTGCTGAATAATACAAGTGTCTGAATGTGACACACTGTCTATTCAATTAGTGTCATTACATGATGTTAACAAATTCATGGTCCCAGCATGTCTGTGCATTGATATGATTAACTTTCCCTTTTCAGTGTCAGGCCTGTTAAATGGTTATATGGTAATTCTTCTGAGAGAGGTTTTATCTTTGAGTTGCTAAGTAATATTTTACTGACTGTAAACTACAATCTGTGTTGGCACCACATTTGCATTTCTTTATATTAATTAAAATTATAAATTAAATTGATTAATCTAAATGAATTTTTTCATCTGAAATTAAATGTTTATCTGATCTGAGATTAATAATGCAGCTTATTTCAACGTCTCTGCTGCTCAGATGTGAATGTAGGTTATGGGTATTATTTATAGCTGAAATGGAGAAACAAATGATCAAACGAATGTATGAACTATGCTCCAGATTCGATCACTTGAACACAGTTTCAATGTGTATTTTCCTTTTGGTCTGTATTGCAGGTGCACAAGCAGCCAAGAAGTCTGGTATCCCAGCTCCTAGAGAAATCCCTTCTAGCATAACCAGAGACCGCATCTCTTTGAGGGACCAGCTTAGGAGCTCTGCCACTAAAAGGATGGTTTCTAGTGCCAGTACTTCCAGCCTCTCCACCCTGGCAAAACAGACGCGCAGTTCAACCAAGTCTCGTGGAGATGCAGAGGGCCAGGAAAAGGGTCTACTTGAGAACCAGGTGAAAGAGCTGCTGGCTGAGGCCAAGGCTAAAGACTTGGAGATCAGCAATCTCAGGATGGAGTTACAGCACTGCAAAGGTAAACCGTCCACTGCTTCCTCTTCACCCTCACACAACTCTGTCTCAAAACAAGAGACTGGTGGAGATCAAGAGCAGGGACAGGTAGCGGAGGCCATTGTGCTGGTTGGAGAGCTGAGGGAGAAAAATGGGAAGTTCCAGAGAGAGCTGGCGGCGCTCCGGGAGGAGAACCAGACACTGAAGGAAAAGCTGCTTTGCTTGGAGGCCTCTCCTCTCTCTAGTACAAACACAAGCACCCCCTCCAAGCCTTTGGTGAATGGCCTGCCCTCAGACTCCAACTCCTCAGCTCAGCTTCCTTCTTCTACAAGCCCTCTCAAAACCTCTGTCTCCTCCAGCTCTGACATCACCAAGGACTCGCCATCACCCGACTCCTCAGAGTTTGAGAAGATCCCATCACGTTCAGAATCAGTGAGCAGCGGTGTCAGTGGGGAAGCGGTTACATTAGGGGCAGTAACCAATGCAGTGGGACAGGATGTGTCAGTGCAGAGCCTTACGGAACAGATTCACAAGATGGAGGAGAGCCACCACAGCACAGCGGAGGAGCTGCAGGCGACTCTGCAGGAACTGGCCGACCAGCAGCAAGTGGTGCAGGAGCTGACAGCTGAGAATGAGCGGCTGGCTGAGGAGAAGCGTCTTCTACAGACCTCACTTCAACAGCAGAGAGAGCGTCTGGAGGTGCTGGTCCAGAAGAATGAGGTGTTGGCTGGGCGACTGCAGGAGCAAGCCCAAGCTCAGGCCCAGAGGGAGGAGGAGCTGGGCAACCAAGGGCCTCGGCTGGCCGAGCTGGAGCAGAGGTATGCCGAGCTGGTTGAGAGCTCACGCTTCGAACGGGAGAAGCTGGTGGACATCCAGCAGCAGCTGACAGGCAGCCTGCGGGCTCTGGAGGAGGAGCACCAGGAGGCCCAGGGCCAGGTACGCTGCCTCAGAGAGGAGATGGACAGGCTTCAGACCCAGCTGGGCAGGGAGCAGGAAGCTGGAAGTCAGGCAGCACAGGCTGCAGAGGAGCAGAGGGCGACAGCAGACTGTCTCAGACTGGAAAACAGTAGGCTGAAGGCGCAGGTGGACATTGAGAGGCAAAAGGTGGGTGAACTGAAGGCCATGCAGAGTGCCAGTGACAGCACTGAGGTGCACAACTTGCTGAAGACAGCCCACGCTGAGAGAGACAGGCTGGAAGTGGAGCTGACGGAGCTGAGGCAGGAGCTGCTACAGGCCCAGGCCGAGACCGAGCATGTGCGAGCCACAATGTCCAAGGTAGGATGGGTATGAGGTCACAATTCAATTTCCATCTTGGTATTCATAGTATTTATGATTTGTTCCACATTTATTGGATCTGTTGTTTAAGCACAACATGAATATACACTACAAATGGAACACTGAAAGTTTGAAAACGTTTTCTGTTATGGTCAAATTCAGTCAGAACATGACAATTTGCATTAGTATTTATCACAATATGATGTGGATTGCCATTACAAAAACTTTGCTTGTTTGAGCTATTTGTCTCAAAATATTGTCACCAATGTTCAGATGAAACTATTTAAAACTGGTTAGAAAATGTCACAGAAAAACATTTTCCACTTGGTTGCTTCCATTGTGTTGTACTTAGTTGTGTGTGCACAGACCTGGACTCGAATTATATGTGACTCACTGTGCTCAAGAAACTTATTGTTTTCTTAGTGAGCTCATTAGTTGTGTTGTGTTTTACAAAGGTTTCAGGAATTCCCTAAATAACAATCTCCCCATCAACATTTACTGTAAACTATCATTTTCAGGAATAGATTTGAATGCTAAAGCTATGTGTCTAGTTAATAGTTGTACCACTAGTCTAGCGTGTAGAGTGTGATTCAAATGGGCGACCGTGACATTATTAATCATTCTTGGCTCAGTCACCACCCATTGAATGTCAACATGAGGACCCACATTTTCCACAATGCTTAAAAAGCACAGCAAGTATTGGGTACTTTTCTTCGCCATCACAGCACATACACTCATGTTCGCTCAAATTGTTTTCATATGTTTCTCAGTAGTCACTTTGTGGTGTTGAAGGGGAAAACCAAACACCAGAAAGACTGAGGCAGTGTGGGTTTAGGGTCATGTTGGTGGTTGTTGACTCCAAAGTGAGGCGTGTCACCATCAGCTTAGCGATGTCATCATTGTTGGACTGTGACTGCAGTGCCAACAGTAGGGTGGTCCATAAGTGTGTGACCCTCTGAGTCATTCTCCTGTCCTCTGCCACATGGGTGTGAGGGTGAGGCCATTCCATAACTTCACTCACAAACATCCTAATCTATTAGAACCACATAGTGTCAGTGGGTGAGAGTCCTGCATAACTACATCATTTACTTATTTCAGCATACTGTACTCAGAGATCAGGGTACACTGACTTCAGCTTCTTTTGAAAGATAGAGATGTAAAAAGCACCATCAAGGTCAAGTGGAAATACTGCACCGCAAGAATGTCTGGAAGATATCATAAATTATCCGGTCTTGAGCCAAAGGTGACTTAAGTGCTTCTATCTAATTAGCAGAGTGACAGCCAGCAATTCCTTCCACATGAAACACTGCTTCTTTGTTTTAAGCCATAAACCCATCATACTCACACAAATGCACACATACACAGGTGGAAGCCAAATGCCAGCAGGTTCAGGAGCGGGCCGAGAGGAGGGAGCAGGAGCTCAGCAGCCGGGTGACTTCCCTGGAGGAGGTTGGGATCCAGGCTGAGAACCAGGTGAAGGAGCTGAAGGAGACCATCTTCGAACTGGAGGACCAGGTGGAGCAGCAGAGGGCCATCAACTGCCACACCAACCAGGCCGTCCTGGACATGGAGAGTATGTCCCTTTCACTGGCTGTTCACATCTCTGTGGCTCTCAGGAGTCTTTTAACCTGCGGTCTTAAATGTAGAATTTAAATTAATCAGTCAGTGGCTTCTGTTATTTAGTCTATCCTTATTTATATTAATGGGAGGACAAAATATTAGAACCCCCTGCAAAATGACCATAAAGTTGAAACAATACCTCTTTAAACAGTTCTACTTCATGAAGGTAGAATTTATTGCAGGGCTGTTGTATTAAACGGCATTAGTTTAGGCCATATGTATCTTATTACTAACCTCATAAACTGGCAACTGAGTGTATATGAAAATAAGATGCAAAATGAAGGCACAATAACACACTGTCACTGACTTGCCATTAGTGCAGTTGGCAAATGTTATATGGCTGGATACACTGTATTTCCACAAGCTGTTATGAATCATGGCAGATTACACTGGTCTGATGCTAATAGTATTGCAGTAATGAAAAATCTGGCAGCTGAGAAGTAACTTTTACTTTTAGAGAAGCCTTCATACTAGCTGCTGTTTCTTCACTATACTGAAAACACAATTTAGTTGTGAATGCTGAACTTGCAGTTCTTAAAAACCTTGAATTTTTCATTGCAGATCTTGTTAAAAAGCTGGAGGAGCAGAAAGCTGAAGTAGAGCGACAACTGAAAGTCTTGAGTAGGCAGATGAAGGTAAGAAAGCTTCAATATGCAGACACATAAAGCTTCTTTATAACGTCTGTAATTGGTATTTAACGCAGTTAGAACATCACAGGCTGAAGACACAAGCCAGTAAACAAAACAAAATGGTTCAGGTTGTTTTAAAGATAATATAAAGCAAAGTTTCAAACTGGGAAGGTCCTGGTGACTCACATAGCTATTTTGGTCACAAACCATGTAATTGTGACCTCCCAAGATCAGATCTACCTTTGTCGGACATTTGTAACATACAATCTCCCCTTCTCCTGTCCTGTCTCTGTCTTTTTTACCATATATATATATATATATATATATATATATAATGAAAGCAAAATTAGAAATTAAATATGTAGCTACTGGCAGGGCTTCAAAGCTTTAATAAGGGTTATAGCGTGATATAGAAGCAGAGAATTTACAGTAGCCATATTGTGATGAAATGATCGTAACACAATGAGAATACAGGTGGACAGCAAAGAAGTGGATTATGTTTCAGTTGTAGATTGAAAAGTTTGTATGGGGTTTTTGATTCATTTTTACTAACATAACAAATCTGTGAAATGTGAGTGAGAGAGTGTCCTCTCTTTTACAGCGACCTCTCAGCCCTACAGGGATGAGTGAGTGATATTCAAAAGATACTTTTTGGGTGGAGTATTAGTTTCCTTGTCTTTTTGCCAATTGTTAGACCTTGGACTCATCTGTCCACAAAGTATTGTTCTACTATCATCCAGATGGGCTGTTCAGGCAGCTATGTATTTTTTGGCAGGCATGGTATTTTAAAACAGGCATTATCAAGTGCACCAGATACCATTTTCACTGTCACCTTCTTGTTATTCATTTTGTAAACTGCTCTCTCAGTGATCTTTGGAACTTCCTCTCCTTTCTTCCATGTATCTGCCTAACTGATTGATGGATACCCAAGTCTCACTAAATTCTGACATAAAACATTATAAAAAATGAAACTATAGTAACTAAGACAGCTAAAAAACAAATCTACAAGGTTCCAGTCTTTGCAACACTGAATATAGCCCTACATTTTTGTTCTTTTACTTCATCAGCAAGGGATCTCTTCAGTTCTTTTCTCAGTGTCGTTTGCCTGCTTCCTACCAAAGAGCATCTGTTGTTCTGCCTCCCTTTTATGATTCAACAAGGTTTTTTTTCTGGTCTTGGGGTGATTTTTAAGTTCTTTCTAGCCTTAGGGGTTTTAAAAATTCTTTCTGAGGTTTTATGAAACAGATCACTGTTACAAAGAGTAGACGTTGTTAACAAAATTTGGATTGCTTGGATTGACAAAATGTCACTGACACAGTCATTGTCCTACAGGTTTTCAAGCCTAAACTGTAAATGCTTTACTCGTGTCTTCATAAATATTATATTATTGTGTTATATATATTATTATATATAGTATTATTTGCTCATAAGATTTAAGTTATCTATTGTTAAATTTAATTAATGCTAACATAAATCTTACTAAATCCAAAGGGTTAACAAACCCAAAGTCCCTGTGTCAGTTGCTGATTCTATCCATATGTTTGTGTCTTTAGGATGAAAAAGAGGAGTGGCGTCGGTTCCAGGCCGACCTCCAGACGGCAGTGGTGGTGGCCAATGACATCAAGGTGGAGGCTCAGCAGGAGCTTCGTACACTCAGGAGGCAGCTGCAGGAGGAGCAGGATCGCAGTGCAAAGCTTTCCACGGACCTTGAGGCTCTGCAGGGAGTCAGGTACCATTTCCACCATACTGTTTTCAGTTCCTCCCCCTCACCAATCCCCCCCGGCTCCCCTTGTTCAGCATCGGGCTGCAGTTCCTTTCTCTCTGAACACAATATGGATATGAGATACCTGCCAGAGTCTTGCCATATCCCCATCCAATGTTTTATTCATGTGATACAAACAGTAATATATTCCAACTTTAATTCCCAAGAATCTCTTGCTTAAGAGGTTTCCAAAATTCCAAAATAGTGTTTTCCAGGATGTATTTAGTGTAGGCATTATTTAGTTCATATCTTGGTATTTCACAAGACTAATTCCACTGATTATCAGAGTTTAGGTCCCTGGGATTTGGCAGACTCTGTTGGTAAATTAGCAGTCTCCTGCGGTATTTCCCTCTGTGTATTCTACTCCTTTAAGCTGCTGCCCTCTCTGTCTCCCTCTTCCACACGGACCATTGCCCTATAGTAACATTCAAACCTCACACTCCACAATAAACTACAGTGTATTGATTAGAGGAGATAATTATTACATGAGAAGGCAGATGTGATGGCAGATCTGCTCTATGCACAGATGCTGCTCTGATCCAAGTGTGTTACAATGCAACACTGGAGCCAGTGTTACCGCTGTCGTCACTGCACCTTCCAGTGAAAATATTCTTCGCCAATGTATCATGCTGTTTAAGATTTAATGTAGTGTTGTTGCACTGTGGCCATGCAGTAATGTGATTGATGTAAGGCTTTAATAGAGTGTTGCATTGGTTTGTGTGTGAGTATACTGTATATACAAGTGTGTTTGAGCGTGCAAATGCCATGGTGTTTTTGACAGTGTTGTCCCCTTTCATTATCATGCCAGGTGAAGTACTTCCTGTGCTGTATAGCGCTCTGCTTATCTGTGTGGCCAGTCATGGTATAGTCCTGTAAGCAAGCAAATTATCTTCATTTTCAGTCATACTATATCACCTCACAAACCTCATGAGAGCAATTTCAGTATATAAGAATTAGTAATATTTGGTTTTAGAACTTGGCTAAATGAGCAAACTTTCCCCAAGATTAGCTGTTTCGCTGCGTCCGCTCCCCACCTCCAGCAGCTCCCTGTGATGACTCTGTCAAAGATGTCCCTCTGTCAAGCCTCCCTATGTAAAGTCCAGGTGAGTTCCCTGCCCTGTCAGCCCTCTCTCAACCAGCTTGCCTCTCCCTGCCCTGTGTGCTGCTGCTGCTCACTGACCTTCCTGTCTGTGTTTGGCTTCGTGTTGCTGCTTCAGCCTGTCCGACTCTGTCTGTCTTTCTGTATGCTGGCTGACTGCACCTTCAGGACTGTCTTACCTTTTTCGTTTGCTTTGCCTGGTTCTTTAAACCTGACATTCAAGTAGATGTATCTGGTGCCACCTGCTGTTCTTTGAATGAATAACCCTCCTACTTTGTTGGTTAAATAGCAGGATGGTCTGCACGGCATGACTGGATTAAGCTCATGCTATGCATCATCTGCTTCAGATACATTTGCATAGCGTCTTCATCACCGGGTGATTTGGTCATACTAGACATTATGAGTGACCTTATTAATCCTATGAGGTATGCATGGAGCAGAGTTTTAAAAAGTCCAGAAGTGCCCAGAGGTCTGCTATTCATAATGTTAAGAAGAAATGTAAGATAAGTTTTGCTGCACATGTACAATGCACATGTAAATGCTTAAAATATTCTTCATACCATAGTTGTATACAGAAGTTCATCTTCCTTCCTCTTTCTTTTCAGAATAAGCTCCGGAGCCACTTTTGATACCAAGACGGCAGTAGAAGGGCACTAGAGAAGTGCCCCCCTTCCACCTCAGCACCACGTGAAGACAGTGTTATTGTTGCACTTATTACTTTTCTGTGTCAAAATGTAACGTGGTAAACCAGTCTCATTCTAAGCCACAGTGACCAGTGTAGATGCAGTACACAAAGAGTCTGGCTTCTATTTCTTTACATGTCTTTTGGAACCTTTTGAATAGTAGTTCTGTATTTTTATTTCTCAATGAATGTATTATTTCTTTGTGATATTCTTGATCTGTGTTAAAGAAATGCCATATGTTGGAAAGACTCTCCTTTTCATACTGTGCAAAGCTGATTTGTGCCTTTTTTTTAGAAAGTTGAGATGGCAAATGACCTGTTACAAAAATATCACCATGAAAAAAACAGGATGCAGTATGAAGACTTGGTAAATATTTAGCCTGTGGCAAGATTCCCAGCATTGTGACAGAACTCCCCATTTCAAGGCAAGAGGAATGCAGCAGAACTTAGCCCAGTTGATTATTATGTTATTAAAATACTAGAGATGGGTGACAATTTAAAGGAAAGGAAAGACAAACACAAAACCCTCCACATTTTCTTATAGGTGTATTAATTTAAACATTTACTTCCTCATCAAACCATTAAATGACCCCTTGTGTCCTGTATGAAAGCATCTGCATTTGTCATGTTTCTCCATTCAGGTTTTTACTTTAATTTGTCACCCATCTGTAGGTGGCTCATGGTTTTCATGCTGGACCTCACGTTTGCTTTTCTTACTATTTCTGTATCAGTCAAATTACTTTTACTTTGACCTCTGTTTCCCAACTTCACTTTAGTTAATGACTTCAGCTTGGTCTTTCTGAATGCAGTGTCATATTTAGCCATTAGATGGCACTATGGAATACACATTTACCATACGGGGGCGACATCCACATGGACATACTGGTATCATCTGCTCTTTTACTATTTATATGTGTCTTTTTAATGATCGCTATATTCCTTTTAAATTTAGAGTATTATTTTTTTCTGCCAGATAAAATAACCAGGATGATTTTGATGTCAGCCATGCTGGCACATCCAAAGTACTGCCAGAATTAGATTTTAGGACTGCCACAAACACAGACAGTTGTACCTCAGAGTTCTTTGTTACTCTTCGCAAACATACCAAAAGGTTCATGGTCCATTTTTAACACAACGACTAAGAAGACTGTGCTTCAGGTTCCTAAAATTAGAATTTTTCCCTTAAACAAGGAGTTAAACTCATTTTCTAACGTTTCACTTTTAAGCAACATTACTGACAGGTTAATGTAGAATCATGCACATAGACTTTTTATCTGAACCTCAGAAGCCAAGGCTCTCAAGATACTTCTTCCTTGTTGATCAATGTTGAATCACTATATTAACCTATTTCGTCATTCCTTCAGAAACCTTCTTAATGTATCAGATCCTCGCATTTTGTGATATCACTCATTTTGAAAGACGTTTAATCTTTTAGCCAGACTCTTACACAATATTCTGTGTTGTTGTAGTGTAATGGCATATTGCAGGATCTCAGGTTCTACTCAGAGTCCAGTTTTTATCAGACATATTCAATTTGTGCATTTTTGTTTAATTAAAAGCCATATTGTTCTACCAGATAAAAAGGTACTGGTGCTCAAAATGTAAACATTTGGATACACTCAAAAATACCATCTAGAAAAAGATGAGATGGTAACAATGTGACAGTTCATTTCATTCTGTCTATAGTAAAACCCTTTAATGAACAATACAGTGAATGTGCTGTTAATTTATTCTGCAAAGAAAGACTTGGAAAGTCTTGTGACTGGTTGGGAAAGAATACATAAGTGTATTGTATGTCTGTTTGACTGTTGTTCATTAGACAAATGAATAAATGAAACTACACCAGTTCAACTGTGGTTGTGTATCTCTTTCAGTGTACACTCGTTGGAGGTGAGTTGGGTGCAATGTTTAAGACAAATTCCTTACTTGCCATTCAGTCCTCATCCATCACTGATAAAGACCAAATCCCTCACACTGTAGCCTTGAGTGCAATGTTCACAAGGGGCAATCGGTTTAAAGTGTCCTCGTGATTGGACTGCTTTGATGTTGTGTTTCAAATTTAAATCGGGGTATCTGCAACTGGCCGTCAGTTATTGACAGTTCTTTCGTTCAAATGTCAAACTATGATCACATGATCTTGTCAGGCAATCTTGTTAGATAATCGTAAAGTGAGGGATTTTAGTCTTATCTCCTGTTCACAAATGCACACGCTGTCAGAGTCCTCCTCTCTCCAGGTGTTTGTATTGTATATGTTTCTACACAGCAACCCTGTTCATTGTGTCTGTTAGGTCCCAAGGTGATGAGGTGAGGCTGCCCGACTCCGATAACAGCCGTCACTGGTGCGGCATCTCCATGATCCCGACCACACCCACAGATGCCAGTGGAGATGCCGACTCAGAGCCTGGAGCTACTGTCAAATCGCTCATTAAGTCCTTTGATACTGTTGGACAGAGTGAGCACCGAGCATCTCAACACATCCACACACCCAGACACACACACAGACAGACAGGGAATCCCAACACAGCAGTGTAATGACAGAGGAGAACAGCTGGTGAGATCTCCAGTGTGGAAATCTATCATTGCTCTGGAGATACATTATACAGTTGTGTGGGACTGTGCGGCCTTGGCTGACCTCAAGCAGATTGGAGGCTTTTTCTGTTTTTGTCAGAATAATTTGACACTTGTAAAAAAAAAGAAAAGATGTGTTGGATAAATCTTCGACTGATGAGGAGGAGGCATTTTCATTTAGATTAGATTTAGATTTACACATTATTGTCCTAGAGGGAGATGTATTTTCACAGCCAGTTCAACATAGAAACACAAAGATATAAACACAGCAATATAAGGATAAAGACAATGCATAGAGTCTCCATAAATACATCTATACATCTCAGAGCACAACATAGTCAGCAAAGCAGTTCATTCAATGCTGCAATGGCAGAGTGGACAAAACACCTGCTGAAGGCCATTTTAATGTGCTGTATCTCCACCCAGATGGCAGTAATAAGAAGTTATGATAAAGTGATAATTGACAGTGTCAACAAAAACTGCAGTTATAGGTATCATAAAAGTAAAGTTTATGGCAGAACAGCTGCATTGGATTGCAATAGGTGGTACGGGTCTAACTGTGGCCACTGAATGTACTGTGTACTCAAACAATAATTAAACAAGACTAAGAATCTAACCAAAACTAAATGCCAACTACAAACAGATTTGAAAAAGTATTTGATAAATATAAGATTTCATATCTTGCTGTCTGTACTGTAGGCCTAACCATTGCATGCTCAGTATTTGTTTGTTATTCTGCTCCTGGTTTTAAATACTACATTTCCTCGTTTACAGTTATAGTCTGATATTAAAAATTATGTTTGATGCCAGTTTTGGTACAATAATCAATGTATATACTGTATTATCTGGCTTTTCAGATGGACCAGGCCACACAGTTCAAATGCATTCCTCCCCAAGAAGCCCACTGAGTGGAATTCCTGTACGCACTGCGCCTGCTGCTGCTGTCTCTCCTATCCAGGTACACAGAAGACAAGATATGTTTCCTTTTAAAATGTAAATAAGACCTCCTATAAGTGAAACTGTTTTAGACTCTGATATGATGAGATCCCTGTTCTGTTTTGTGTTCTTTTAGAGACAGTCATACATAAAGCCACTATCAAAGACATTGGAAAAAAGGATCAATCATGGTGAATACTCTCATCAGTATGGTATGTAACACAGATGTGGTTTTAGGTTAAAGTTATGGGGGTTAATTCACATGCAAATCCATATTTCATTTAGCAGTCACACTGGAACAAGTGATCGCCTTGCACACTGCTGTTAGCTCAATGGACAGCCAGACAACGTACCACTGAGTCACTGCCTTTAGTAATGAGTAAGGCTGAAACGTCAGATGTAATTAGTTCACACATGAGCAGATGAATAAAGATATGCAAACATCCGTCTATACTGTTTTTTTTGCGGACAGTTTCATAATTTAGTTCCTCGAAAGCAAATACTGTAAATGTGGTGACTGAGCTCTTAAAATATCTGCATCTACAGTCAGCAAATGTTTGCAGTACTTTAAGCACAAAAGCACTGATCAGAAAGGATTTTTAATGTACTGAGCTATTGCAGTAAAACAGAAGATGAAAAGTTTTAATCATTCCCTGATGTTATTTTACTGACTCACAGACAGTGGCTAGTATAGACTTGTTCAGGCAAGACAGACGCACTCGGGCAGGGTTATTTTGAGCCTTTAGAAGACTATGCCCTTCCCAGTCATGACCTATGGACTGTGCAGCAACATTTCATAGTAGATTTAAAAAATCTGTTCCTCAGCTTGAATCAATGATGCAAACGGAAAAACAATGGATGCCTTGTCCAGGGCACTGGAGAAAGTTATGCTTAGTTGTATTTTGTGAAGTGGTGGCTGTCAGTATACACAGATGTTCATATCATTGCCAAGATGTGGTCTGCATACTTTCTTTTTTGTAAACCATTGTACAATGTGATTTGTCAAATGTGCTTTAAAAAGGATATATTATGATCCCTCTGTTCACATTCTCTTTTGCCTCCCTCTCTTTCCTGCATCCTTCACTCCCCCAGATAAGTTGTCAGGCTGTGGGGAAGACCTGAAACCTACCAGCCTAATGAGAAAGAGCCCTTCTCTAGAGTCTGTAATCAAAACCCCCGCCTCCCTCAGCAGCCGCACCACATCCTTCAGCTACAACCGAGGCAACAGTAAGCTCAGGTGGGTTTAACCAGATGGTTTTGTCTGATAATTCATGTGAGATCATATATATATAGATAGACAGAAGTAAATCAGATCTTACCTTACGTTCCACTTCCCTTACTTTGAAAACAGAGCAGTAAACATCCGTTTATATGACTTCTCTACATGCAACATGTTGGTTGGTTGTAATTCACAGGAAATCTGGTTGTGAAACAAGTTTTTCTGAGAATGCTTATGCAAACCTGCTCTGAGCGACCCAACACTACAACAACAGTCATTTAGTCTCATATCAAACTTTTATTTTAACAGCTTTAGAAAAATTGGCGGGAGATACTGTAATTCAACTTGTATCTGAAACATTCTTACCACAAATGTTGTTTGAAAAACCCATCATTTTTAGAATTCAGAATAGGCTAAAGATATTGACATAGAGGTTTTGTAGTGAAATAATGACTTACAGGAAAAACTGTTGTAGTTCTACATTTCTGTAAAAGTTCCCCATTAAGATCCTCCTTGTTGGCCTTTTAAGTAACAACATGTTCTACTGAAATTCAGTTTTGCATATTTAAGTCCCAGCTTACAGACTTTGGTGTCTTTCATTGCCAGCAGTGTTTTGTGGCACAGATGGCTTTAACACAGTACACAGACTCTTCCCTTATCAGAAAGGGAAGAGAGACAGATGTTAAACATTCTTTCATCTTCTTTTTCTGACATCGTCTTCCCATACAGACCACTCCTCTTTGTGTACACATAGAAATGAACAAATGTCAATCGCCATTTAGTTTGACTCATGCTCAACTTCAACTTCAACAACTTACATTTGAGGTAGATTACTCTGGCATCAGGCTGGACAACACCCTCATCTTCAGCCTACATATAGACTGTTTACATTAGTACACTACTCTCAGTGATCTGGAAAAAAAAACCTGTCTGTCCAGCCATACCCTTTTTTCCCTCTGGTATCATGACATTATTGAGCTGTCTGCTCTTCACCATCTGTATTTACAGGATTATTAGTGTCTGTCTAAATGCACTCCAACATTAACATATTTGTGCATTATTAATGTAAATGCATGTCACTGTATTGCAGACCTTCACGCAGGCCCTCCCTCTCAAACAGCAGTTTAGCAGCAGTACAGTACCGTGTTTGGTATGGTTTTAGGGTTATGATATAACTGCGGTATCACTGCTGATAAATGCATGCGCTCTCCACCTCTGTAATATTTGTTTGGACAGCATCTTGCTGCTTTTGGCCTCGCGGTGCCTCAAACAGAGAAATAATGAATTTAACAGCAGCGCTGCTGTGACGTGTGAAATGTTTACCATGCTTAGAGCAATGACCGTGTCTTGTGGTCTTCCCATGGCCTCAGCTCCAGCAGAAACCCCAGGGAGCAGACCCTCTGAATAGTACTGCAGATAGGCACTTAACCAGTCTGTTGTACCACTAGTAACTTCTATTTTCTATTCCTTGTGTCTTATAATAGTGCAGTCAGTATACTGAATATAAACATTCGAGCTTAAGCCCATGGAGATAGAATGGCAAAATTAGGAGGGAGGCCAAAAAAAGACTGTGCTAAAGCTTAGCATCCCACACTTAAAGCCAGGCTGAACTCTCTGAGCTGTATGTAGTTGGCTTCACTCCAGAGTAACCTTGCGCCAAATCTGAATTCTAACACAAATATAATGAACTGCAAAGAAGCTTCAATCTTGTAAAGATAAAACAAGATCAAATAATAAAGTACCCTTTGGTCATGGAAATCCTGGAACTCTGAGCGGTGCTTTTAAGAGAGGGAACATCTGGAAATTAGATTAACTATGTAGGAAAATGAAGTAAATTTTAATTCTTTAATACTATCGTGTCTGTTCATTTGGTACTATCATGGTGATCTTGCATAAAATATATGACTATTGATGTGGTTACTTAATAGCCTCATTGTCATAATTTGATGCAGCATCTTTATTGTGATTCATTATGCAGCTCAGCTGCATTTTGTACCTTTTTATATGGTGGTTTTTTAGTTGTTTTCCCTCTGGAGTGTAACAAAACTGTTTACCTTTTAACCTTTCCTGATCTAGAAAACAATATTTACAACTAAACTTAAACTTTTAGGTCCCTGAAGCACTCCTATGTGTGTGTATACATCAGGGCCTGTAATGAACTAGTTTCAGACATGGTGAAATTATTTCCTACAAAGGATTTTCATCTGGAAAAATGTTCACTTAAATGAACAGTTTTATACTATGCAACTAACAGAGCTTGAGTGATTATGGTATTTATAAAAAATGTGTGTGGATGTGATGATAAAGAACAGTTTTATGGATTAATCAAACACTACACTGATCATACTCCAAATGACACACTCTAACTGTCCCTCTCTCTCGCTCTCTCTGTGATTGCGGTTTGTGTTTCCCTGGTGACAGTGTGGAAAGAAAGGACCCCTTGGCTGCTCTGGCGCGGGAGTATGGAGGATCTAAGAGAAACGCTCTACTGAAGTGGTGCCAGAAGAAAACAGAGGGCTATCCGGTAGGGATCACAGGCCAGAGACCTCTCAAATACAAGGCGGGCTCCATTCACTTTCACGCCCTGCTTCTCTCTGCATCTTTGTCTGACAGTTTTATTTTAGTCTCACACTCTTCAGGTTTTCATTTAAAAGTGAGATGACAGCTCCTACCCCTCCTCCCCTTTATATTGCACGGATGTGGTATTGGTCTATCTATGCCCTCAGGTTTGGTAGTTATTTCTTTTTTCTCCAGCCATCACTGAGGTGCTAGACAGTAGTGGCACATAAGTGTGTTTGCAGACACACCATTCACCCACCTGTCATCTCACTGGGGATTTGAAGTCACTGTGGCACAGAGGTAATGGAAACAATGAGGCAAAGCACCCAATGTTACAGACACACTTGATTTATACATGTGTGTATTTATATAGCACTCCATGTTTTTTATGCATGCCCATTTGTTTATGCATTGTTATTGTGTTGTGTTCCCATCTGTGTTTCCTGTGTCCATGGAGCCAAGTGCCTGACAATCACCTGGCTTAGCTGCTCCCCTAATACCCAGTTTAAGGAGCCCATTAAGGCCAGTGGGATTAGAGATTTGCCCATGTAATCATCATGTTTGTGTGCCAGCATGCCAGCTAGTTAATACTAAAACTCCTACCACCAGGGAGACTGGTCCCAGTCTGCAAACTCTAGTTTAGGAGGAAGAGGAGTCGTTCCAGCCATCTCAGAATTGTAATGGAAGATGAATTACAGTTATAAACATAAGTGGCTCTGCTTCTGTTTGGGCTGAGTCTAATAGCATGTAGCTCTGGCTTCAAGTATGAAAAGGCACGGGTGGCAGTAACTACTAAAAATAGACCCAGCTTTCCCAGGGATAAATGGTTGGGATAATTGGATAATTTGCCAAATCAATAGTTCTTATTTCTCAGGCACAATGCTGCTTAGTGTACTTTGAGTCACCCTCCCGTCATCTGAAGTCAGGGGTCACACGGGGTCTGTTGGTAAAACACACACAGCCGATCCTCTGTGATGGAAATATCTGAGCAGATGAGATAAAACTGCTGCTGACCAACAGACGATCTGTCTGATAAGATGCTGGAGCCATATACAGAGTGCAGTGGTTCAAATTGTTTGGATTCACACACCATTGTTTGATATTGATCTTTAGGTGGTAGCAGCATGCTTAAAGCACTGGTTTGTCATAGAAGGTCACTGGTTTAGTACCCATATCCACCTGGGTGCTTGAAAAAGTTTTATTTAAGTTTAACTTTTCATTTCAGAGTGTTATAGAGGAAACTAATACACAAGACAGTTGCTAACTAGAAGCATAATTCGATTAATAGAAAAATATAAATATATATATATATTTATTATCTAGAAGCAGATGTTCCTTCTGCATTTAGCCGTGGTTAAAACAAATATGACTACTCGCAGCAAGGATAGAAAAGCAATTCTGCAATGTAAAAGGGACATTTTAAATAATGCCTGTTTAAAACACTGAATGAAGAGACCTGCTATATATAGATTGTACATACACCACCATTGACCAGTGAAAGGACACAGCTCAGATTGTGGCCCTTCCGTCTGGGTCTTTCTTTTATTTCTGATGAGTTATTTTACACAAACTCGAGGAACTAGAATTTGATGTTTCTTGTGGGCCTGCATACAGTAGGACAGGAACTATACTTTCCAGGAATCATTCGATGTATTCATAAAGATTGATTATGTGACAGACCCCACCCAATCCCATCCCAACCTCTGCCTCTCCTCCCCCAGAGCAACAGCAGCACAGACACTAATCTCCTCTACACCAGCCCTGACCTGCAGATAGTGCAAAAACATAAAAATACAATGTAAGCTTATATAAGCGTATATTTACAAGGTGCAGGCACACGCTAAATAACACCCATATTAGCAACCAGGTTATGGAAGATTCAGGTAGCAAATAGTTTTAGCAAATAAATATAAAATCACTTTTATCTGAATTCATATAGCCTTATGGAATTTCCTTCACAAATGTGATACAAGAAAAAGCCTTATTCAGTAACTAGGTGTCCTTGTCTTTCTCAGTGTCAGATGTGAGCTCACAGTTAAAATCCTTCCAATATGGCAGCAATCTCATAAACATGCATATAGTTTAATTAACTTCCCTGAGAACAGTATAGATAAATTCAAGTGGGATTAAAGGCTAAACAAAGTCAAGTAGTCTGGTGTCTTCATGCAGTTTACCCCTCCCTGCTGTGTCCGTTGCCCTAGGGAAGAGCACCTGCTAAAAGTCTTGTAGAAGGGAAAATTCACCCTGGGAGAATGATCTTTGAGCATGGAGCAAACAATAGAACAAATTCAGTGGTGGAAGACATACTCAGATCCTTTACTCAATACAAGTAGGAATATCACAGTGCAAAATCTATCAAAAGTATTAAATTTACATGCTGAATCACCCCTTTCTGACTGTTATATTATTATATATATAGGGCTACAACTAACAGTTGTTTTCATTATCAATGAATCTGTAGATTATTCTTGTGATTAATCATTTACACTATTTAACTGTCACAAGACTGTGAAAAATGTGTCCAAGGTGATGTCTTAAAATTATTTTTTATCTGACTAACGGTATAAAACCCAAAGACACTGATATAAAACAGAGACGTCCTTCAGAAGGTGGAACCAGAGGAGGTTTGGAATTTTCACTTGCTAAAAGTGTTCAATGATTATTGGATTATCCAAATTCATTGAATAATTAGTGCTATTATTGATTCTTTGTGTAGGCAGCATTAATGTTGCAGCTTGTCGAGGTGGAGCTAATTTTAAATTCAATTTTATTTGTATAGCGCCAAACCAGACGTGACAATTGTTGGGTATAATTTAATGTACTAGGCTACATATTTTATTTGTTCATTATATGTTTGTATGTAAAATCTTTAGCTCTGCGATATAAAGGAACTATGGCTGTAGTGGAATAAAAAGTACAACATTCCCTCTGAGATGTTGTGGAGTTGAAGTATAAAGTAGCATCAAATGAAAGTACAAGCTGCTTAAAATTGTACTTAGTGCTTAGTTACTTTCAATCACTGATTAAAGTTAAATGGACTCTTGTTAAATAATAACCCAAATGGAATTACAAATCGGGGGTTCAGTTCAGGACAGTTGGGTCCATGAACATGAAACCCTTAATAGAGCCTCATTCCCATTTAACTATGGAACCTATGATCCCCTTTCACAAAGGGCTTAGCAACACAGTGTGATTGTTTGCAAGTATCAGGAATGCAGTAAGAAGATTTGGTTACTCGGAGTGTTTCAGTCTGTGGCATAATCAGTCCCCTCCTGGAGTAACTGTTCTTGATTCGAGCTGTGATCCTTTGTCTTTGTGAATTTCCTCCATGTGTGCCTGACCAGTAAGTGGATTCATTCACAGACTATAAGCCAGTTAACCTTAAAAAATGTCTATTTTTAGAACAAGTGTGACTGGCCTATAGTGTATTGTTTTTTTTATTTTCTTGGCATTTCGGTTTATTTGACGAATAGTAGTCAGAGACTGGAAAGGCAGGGGAGAGAGAGGAGAGAGGATGACAGGCAGCAAAGGGCTCTGGGCCAGACTCGAACCCGGACCGCTGCAGTAGGACTCTGACAGCCAGTGGGCTACTGGGCCGCCCCTAGTGTCTCGTCTTATGGGCATTTGATCACCCCTTTGCATGTTTATCTCTTTGCATATCTATGTGCGATTGAACTAGTGGCAGGTTTTCACAAACCTGTTCAGAGAACATCTTACAATATTTACATTTGCTGTTTAACTTTCACAGCAGAGACATATATGAAAGCAGCTTTTCCTCTGTGCCTCCTGAGTGTTTTCCTCCATTTCCACAGGGATTTCTGTTCTCTAGGATGCACGGATATATACTATGTTTGTGTGTGTGTGCATCAGTTACAGTATGCGGAGGCCAGTTGAGTGCTCAGCACTTGAGTCTCATGGCGAGTCTGAGGGAAAAGGTTACTGTCAGAGGACATGTTGAGCTTCTGGTGAAAGGTCAGGCTGTTACAGTGGCATGAGGCCTTCGTCCAGATGGAAACCACTAATTACAGGCCTAATGTCCAGAGAGACTGACTGATCTGTCACACAGTTTGAAGCTCCAGGACAGCAAAGGCTGCGACGATTGCCCAAAATACAACCACATCCAGGTTGCCTGCTTCGTCTTTCTTCCTCTCTGTCATGCTCATGTTCTGCTCTGATAAAGGTTAGTGAGGTTTAGCTTTATCAATACATCCTCATGCACTTTGCGGTTCCTTTCTTCTCTGCTGCGGACTAAGGTCAAAGAGGTAATAATTCAACACTAATTGGTTCTTTAGTATAAAGAGTCACCCAGTTGTAATTTATGCTTGGCTTCTTCTGGCTACATAATTAATGTTCTCTTTGAAGAGGCGGCTTTGACCATTGCTGTTCACTTTCCATCCTCTCTCCGTTCCCAAACGGTGGAGTCGGGAAACAAGCTCTTATATCATGCTCATCTGCCAGCATGGAGCCAGAAAAGCAGAGAAGGGGACAAAGCCGATGGGAGGGTCAGCCTCGTGCCAGTTGTTATTACAGTCCTATTGTTGGCGGACCTTTTGGTCAAACCGCAGCCTAATTAAAGTGAAACACAAAACGGGAGCTATTGTAAGCATGCCGGGGATGTTATTTGATGTTTAGGTGCAAATAGCTGCCAAGGGCACAGTAAATCTATGTGATTATAGCATGATGCAAAGCCTGATGTCACACTTTCCCCATTTACTGTGATCAATAACGGGATGAGAGAGATGAGTGCTTGTAATAATCACAGATAGATGATGAAATTAGACCACAGTGTAGTGTGTCATGTGCTAAAAAAACTCAAATGAAGTTTCATCTCACCTTACGTGTGGTTCTGCAAATGCATGCTTTTCTGCTCTTTTAATGCATTCAGGTGACAAGGAAAAAAAACATAATGAAAGCAGTGACCATGGCCTACGTGCCTTAAATCAGGCATCCAGTTTAGCCCCAGGT